AAGGATGGGGAAAATCTCTCAAGGCTCCATCCCTAGATAACTATCTGTAAGCAATTAATGGTTGCTGAGAAGGGGAGATCAGTCTTTCCATGGCTCTTCAATCCCAAAACACATATACATAAAATCAACATCAAATAAACTCAGCAAGTTGTATATGTAAGTGTGTGTGTGTGTGTGTGTGTGTGTATGTGTGTGTAAAACAATAATAACTAAAGAATAAGAGGCCATGAAGTTGAGAAGAAATAAATGGGAAACTTGAAAGAATTGGAGAGAAGAAAGAGAGGAGATAAAATTGTGGTAAAACAGTACTTATGTATGAAGTTCTCAGAAAATGAAAAAGCAAAAAAGAGAAATAAAAAATGAGAACATGAAGTGAAGGAGACATCATTTGGTCAGTGTAATGGCTCTTCCCTCATCAATATCATTTGCTATGAAAATGTGTCATAGTTGTACAACCATGCCTCTCTTAGACACCTTTACCAGCATCAGATTCTAATTATCTGCTAATGGTTTAATTTAACAAGATGTGGTGAGTGTCTTATTTAAAAAGTCATCCAAAGTAGGTGTGCAGATCCAAGTGGCTTCTTCTGTTTGGCTCTGAATGCAGACATCAGACAAGGGATCTGGTTTCTCGTCTTCCTCTGAATGTTTGACAAAATGTAAAGTAAATCAAGAGGCAGTATAACCCTATAAACTTCAAGTAAAAGAACTAGGTACCCAAAGATTTCTGTGTAATGCCTAAAGCCAGATTCCTTTAGGCAAAAGAACTGACGCTGGCTTGAATACAGGAATCTTCAATGTACGCAAAGTGGCACAGATGTGAACTGATAACACAGCACCATTGAAACAGACAGATGGGGAGAGCTGGCAGGTTTTTGTGGTAAATAAAACCCTGTGCTGAGACTAAGTCTAGAAACAGTACGCAAACAGGCTATTATGAACCAAATGTGACTAGTCACAGTTAGGGAAATAGCTTCACACATGAGACAGAGGAATAATTGGTTACTGTGAAATGGACTTCTCAATTATACCCATACTCACTGCTATCAATCAACATTAGCATGTCAGTATGAAAGCCAGAAATCTCAACATTCTCACTAAGGGTGAGCCAGTCAGTATCACTAAAAATCCAACACAAGCATGTAGTCCATGCCCAGAATGTTGGTCGTTTATCCTGAATGTACTTTTTGTTCACTTGACTTATGGCAATCAACTCCGTGTTTGGCATCTGAAAATATCACTTAGTGAGCTGGCAGGAGGGTAGATCCAGTTCATATATATTCTTTTATTCACAGAGCAAATTTTAGTATCCTGCTGGATAAATAAAGCCTCAAAGTAATAACAGGAGTCAAAGTATACATAACACAGCAATTTGTAGAGCCACTGACATCAGCCAAAAAAAGCTATTGAGAATTTGTTTGTTCATTCAACTAGAACTACAGTTAGACTTTATTAGGATTCATAAAAGACAGTGTTTCTATATGAAAGACAAACTGTTGAACGTTACTTCTAAAACCACCAAGTTTTTGGACCCCCAGCTGCAACTTAACATCTTTCCTGGACGGAGTCATGCCTAGTGTCTCGAGAGAGGAAGCATATCAACTTCCTGGTGACTTCTTTGCTCCCTGGAGTCATCCTTCACTTTTAGAAATAATAAGAAACCAACACTTAATTAGTTCAAAAAAGCCTTATTTTTTTACTAATCCATAAAGAATTACTTGTATTGGGCAACCTCTGAAAGTCATGTCTTTGCACATGTACATCCCTCAGTCGCTTGGCTGTCTGTTTGCCTCACAGCACGTCCTATGCCATCGTAAGGACTTGCAGTGATTTCAACTGTTGTAGCTGAGCATGTGGGATAGCAGGTTTAGAAAGAACAAAGGTTGAGATTTATCTTCAGTATCTGTTCACATACGCCTGGGTGATTTGGTTGTGACACAGTTACTCATTTGATCCCCTGGGCAGGAATAATTTATGAGGAAAGTTACTCAGCTGGCCAATTTTGGTGCTTTCTGTCTTGAAACAGATTTTCTAAATATTGATGTTTGCTCCCTAATTACCTTGTTGCTTTGGCCCTGCTTAGATCTTTGATATTCCTAATTTCATCCTCTACCCTTGGCTCATGCTTGTCTTCACTCTCCATAAAAAGACTCCATACAACTCTCGATACATACTGAATGTCAGCATCAGGAGAGGGTATTTTGTTTTCCTGACTAAATATCTACTACAGTATCTCAGGTTTTGCTTACATGAGCATTCTGACTCTGTAAGCATCTGTGGAAGGCGTGGGTGTCATGTGCTCGTCTACACCCTGTGTGCTCCTTCTGTAATAGAGATTTCTCCACATTTCAGAATCAACTTAGAGCAATAACAATCATCACGGGATAACAATTACGTCATCTTCAGACTAGTTCTGCTAGGGCAGCTGAGAAGGGCAGCAAAGAATGCTTCACATGTTAGGTGAATATGAGAAAGTGAGTGGGAGCCACTACTCTGCCAGGACACCATTCTCAGTAGCCAGAGACCACTCAGCTGTTAACAGCAGATCTAGGGCCAGAATCCACTCCCCTAACTTTTGATTGCCTACTCTTGGGACCATCCTCTTTGGAAGGCAGTGATTCTAATTAAAAGTGAATCCAACAAATGATCATGTGCTCACATTTTCATCTTCAAAGCTCATTTATCCTTTTTATTGTATAACATATTTGATGATGTAACATTTTATATCAAAATTTCAACCTTCTAGTAAATTTTATTATTGTTTTGTGTGAGAGATGTGTTTGTGTAAATTCAGAGATAACTCTGTGGAGGTGGTTCTCTCCTTCCACTCCACTGAATTCTGGGATATGAACTCAGATAATTAAGTTTGCACGATAAATGCTTTTATCATCCAAACCATGTTTCCAGTGTGATAATTTAACTTTTAACTGCTCCACTGAGCCTTAAGTAAGAATGACTGTACTGTGGCTTGTTTCTAATAACTCTAGGGATAAATGAATTCATGTTTGAGAAGGCCACCAACTAGTTTATGTATAATACTGTGATTTCTCATAAAGACAAATGCTGTTCTTCAACTATCGTCCTCAATATTGCATACAAAAATATTAAATCATTGAACTGACTGCTTAATATTTTCTAAAAGCGTATCTTTAACAATTTTGCCATAATAAATGAGCTAATTTACTAGTGAGCATAGAATTTTGATATTCCAGTGTGAATCATAATATATATTGGTAGTTACACTGAGGGAAGTATGTTTATAATGGTCCTAAACATTGTAACAACATTGCACACTCTTAGATCTCAATAGCAGCTCTTCCAATCCTGTGGGTACAAGCTCCATCTCATCACTTGTGTGTTTTTCTGTTCTCAGACCAGAATTTATTTATTCCCTGAGTTGCCAGAAGCAACACACAGCACAGTCATTCTGACTCAAGGTTTGCGGGGACAGTTATAGACTGAAATTGTCACACTGGAGAGATGGCTCAGTGGATAAAGTCATTTATCATGCAAACATAATCAAATCTATTATCGAGGAAAAATGCCAAGTAAAGATATAATGCAAGAGCTGTCGTTTTTAATTTTCTAACAGCCAAATTATTATTTAAACGCATAATCAATATAAAAATTTTTGGTATTTCTTTTTTACATTCATATTACATCTCAGTGTGCACACTAAATTTTCCGTGACTGGAGTCAAATGAAATCCTATTAAAATACTGACACTGTGTTTAGTAAGAAATATTTATAAGTACTTTAATTTTAAGGTTAAAATGAAAGTAATGAAATTCAAATATAATTTAGAATTCAGTTCTTAAATTTCGCTGATTACATATAGCTAGTAGCTATGATGCTGGATCTAGAAGATGAAATGATTAAAAGCCAAATTCGGGAAGTATTAAACTGTGCTACCAGCAAGAAGTAATATGATTAAAGTATTTAAGAAGAGATCAGTAAACAGTGATATAAAAGGCTATGGGCCAGGCATGGTGATACACACCTATAATCCTAGCACTCAGGGAGATAGGATAGGAGGCTCACTAAATTGAAGGCAGCCAGGGCTACATAGTAAGAGGATGTCAACAAAAAGAAAGAGAAAGAAGAAAGAAGGTGGTGGGAAAATGAGGGAGTAAAGGAAAAGGGAGGTGAGGAGGAAGACAGGAAGAAAGGTCATGATAATTAAAACATATATTTAGAAAGGTCAAATTATCTCTGTTGAGTTTTATCTGAGAAATCTTTAAATTTTGGTTTTCTTATCTGTAAAGTAATTTTACCGGCACTAATGGAAGCCTAACATTAAATGCAATCATTTAGATAGCAGCCTTCTTAGAATATCTAGTATATTCCAAGGTTCGATAAAGTCCACCATCATCATTAGTAGTTATAGAAGTTCTGGAATCTGTGTGTATTTAGGTAAATGACATCTCTAAAAGGGTTGCAACCATTAATTGTGAGATATAGGAATTGGGGGTGTGTTTTATAAACTTTATTCTATTGCATTATAAAATGCATATCAAAAAGGCATAAGTATATATAACGCAATGGATTCTTACAAAACAAACATACCTTTGTACCCAACAACATCAAAATACAGAACATTCAGAAAAAGCCAAAATCCTTCTCATGGTCAAAAAAGAAACAAAACAAAAAAAAAAACAAAAAAAAAACTATCACTCTCCTGACATTCAAAGGTTATAGATTTGCTAACTGTATATAAATGAATACATAACCCACACTCAAAAGAGTCCAGCTTCTTTCATAAAAATGTATCCATTATAAAATACCAAAAAAGTATTTTTGTCTTTTATTAGGTTACATTCAACTATATTTCCAAAATTAATACATTCATTTAATAACAAGTGGGCTTTTTGAGTTGTTTCTAGATTGGGACTGTGACCAAAATTCTTGATATGCTATAGGACTCTGTTGAAGTACGCTTAATGGAATTTGAGTTTTTAAACTTAAAAGCGAGAATCACTCCTCATGTAATTTCCGCTTAGGTACCTTGGATAAGCACAAGGAACTGGAGGAGCTCATGGCTAAGTTCTTGAATGTAGAAGCAGTGATGACCTTTGGGATGGGATTTGCAACCAACGCAATGAATATCCCTATACTTGTTGGGAAGGTAAGAAATTGTTGTTATGTGTCTTCTTCTGCTGTATGTATAATCTAATGATTACATAGAAAATACACCTATGTATTATCTTAAAAATTACATCTTCATGGAAATCCTCTATCAGAAACTTTGCCAAAACAGTCCTTTTCTCAAGATCAAAATCTTTGCATAAATACATCAGTATAGGCTAGCAAATCCTCATGATCATCCCAGTTATTAAGTTGCCAAACTAAATATGGATCAAATGTCATCTTCAATAGTAGCTTAGACAATCTGAAGTTTTAAGGACTTGCAGCTGCATTTGTCATGTAGCAAGCACATACTAGGCATGACTTTAGGCCAAAAATTTTCTAAGCCATTTGTTCATTCATCAATTGGCTGACTAACTATTGAGATTTCACGTGGCATGGCATGAAGCCACACACAGGATATAAAAGGATGAACAAGATCCCTGCATTGTAAATTTAAGTGTTCACATTATAGTGGAGAAACAATATACTAAATAAAATTGGATGGGTATTACAGGAAAAGAGAGCTGGCAGCTCTTCTTGAGATACCTTGCAGTGGCTATACTAGAATTATGAAAAGAGAGCATTGATATACTATCATTGATATTGTTCTTCAACCAATAAAGAAGGGATTGCATGTACAAAGCAGAGAGTGTGGAGGAACTAAACACAGGCTCATGATCCAAAAAGAGACCAACAATGAAGGCATATGCCAAATCACAAAGAACTTCAGAGCGTAAATCATGCCAGAATGTTTAAGGATGTCCCTGAGAAAGAAATGAGAAGTGGACTACATCATGTTCAATAAGCAAGTACAATAAACCAGATTTATGCTACTAAAAATGCAATGACAGCTAAGTGTGATATATGATCTAAAATTGGATTCTGTGACTTTCATTGAAAAAAATAAAGATAACACCATTAGAAGTATTAGAATAGTTAGGGAAATGATTAATTTTAGTGACATATTAGATGCTGATATATAATATATGTAACATTTAATAAAAAATTTGGAACTTTGTGGCAATAACAACTGCCACATTTATAGTAATTACATAGCTAAAGAACACAGATTTGAGGTATCATGATGTTTACAGTAATTCTCAAATGTTTCAAAAGAAAAAAATCATAGACACATATTTTTCAGTGTGAAGATAAGACGAGTTTGCTGGCTTTCGCCTCAAAAACATAAAACATTTTGTATGTGAAATTATCAAAATATAAGGGGGGGGGGACTCAATTCCAGGTCACCACAGGAAACAAAAGAGAGCCATCATTTCTCTTCATTTTTGGTATCCTTAAAAAGCTCTATATGTATGCATTTTTAAAATTATTTTAAAGAAAAATAAATTAACAAGCATTATAGATGAGTAGCAGTATTTTCCACCCACCACACACTGACCTTCCATGCATGCACACTTTTCCAAATATCCAGTTTTTAGCTGTAAAACACAGATGATTCTGTCTCTTTGGGCTGTTAGCACAGGCAAAATGAGCACACAAGATAAGAGTTTGAAATGCCTTACTGTAAAATGCCTCCCGAGCTTCCCGGAGGACTAATGAGAACCTTCCAAATAATCTAGCACAGAATCAGGTACCAAATAGTCTATAGCCCTCTGCCACACATCAGCCCTCCAGTCACAGTCTTCAATCCTTTAGACTCTGACTGATGCTTAAACATGATCTTTCTGTTGAAAACCATCTGTGAATGTTCCAGTAGAGACGCAATGTCTTACAAACAGCTGCCATCTCCCTGAGCCAGCTAAAAGACTAGAGAGCTAGCTGAAAGATTAGATTTTGTTTATATAAATACCAGCTAAAGTTAAACCTTTTCAAATAAAATAGAGTCCAGGCTTAACATGGGTTTTGGTGTCTTCTAGTTCCTATATGTTGTCTTTTCTTTTGTCATCTTGTGGTTTGTGTTTGTTTTCTGCCTAGGGATGCCTTATTTTAAGTGATGAGTTAAACCACACGTCTATCATCCTGGGAGCTCGACTCTCAGGTGCAACCATAAGACCCTTCAAACACAACAGTGAGTATCTGAGCATTTACCTAGAATACACTGGCTTGCTCCTAGGCAAAGGTCAAGGTTATTCATGATATTTTGTCCTTGCTTTTCATACTGGCAACTTAACCTAATGAAAGACAATTATGCTTATATTCACTGCTGGCTTGTTAATCTCTGATGACCTGGAACAAATGGCTGAAGTATATTAAACATCCAGATTGCTAAGTGTTACCAAAACACATAAATGTCACTGTTAGTGGTCTTGCGGTGTGGTCTCTGAAGATGTGATTGATACCTTAGGATGCCAATTAATTATCAGATGTGTCACAATGCTGCCCTTCCTGTAACCTTGTCTTGGAAAAGTTCAAAGATTTTACATTTTGGGCCATGTGTAAGTAAAAAGCGTTCTTCTTGGTATAATGCTAGTTTTCCCTATCCCTACATACAAAATGTTAATGTCTGTATCCCCCTAATAGTCTTAGACTTTATTAAAATATCCTTTCAGAAGCTAGAGAGATGGATCTGGTGGTTTAGAACACGTAATTCTCTTGTAGAGAACCCAGGTTCAATTCCTAGCTCATACATGGTAGCTTACGACCAACTACAACTCCAGGTAACAAGGGTCCAGCTATCCTCTTCTGACCACAGTGGGTACCTTGAACACACAGGGTACACATACATACACGCAGAAAAAAACATTCAGAGACATAAAACAAAATAAAAATAAATCTCAGAAGATTTTGAATGCCCTTCCAGGCTCTGTTTGAAGTGACTAAGTAGTGAAGAAGATGCAGAGGGATATTCCTTCACTCTTTATGGGTCAGATCAGACACCATTAGAAGTCTCTGGAAAACAACTTAAAAGAAACAGGCCATGGCTGGAAGCACCTATATTCTCCGATCCAGATGTACTCCTCATTTGTGCCACTTTCTGCAAATCCTTTCATCTTTCCTTCAAAATCCTCATCTGTAAAGCTAAGGAAGATGTTGACCTATACGACCTGTTAAAGCTCTGCTTCTGGCACATTTAGCAACAGAGGCTTCCTTTCATTTTGTGTGCATGCTCATACAAGTACACACATACACATGCACATACACACACACACCCACAACAGCACACACATTAGCATACTTCCTTTTATTTCTTACGGCCTTTCTCTCTTTCTTTCCATTCCCCTCAACTTTCCTTGTTTCTTCTCCTCAGCACAGACCTTCCTTCAAAGAATTTACAGAGAGTAAAGGAAAAGAAGACTGGTAATGAGCAGGAAGGATTATCCAAAGATCAATTGTCTCATGAGAGAGGAGAGAATTCACATGAGGGTTCTCAGGTGAATTCAATGAGTCCCTTTTCTAACTAGTGGAGTGTTCAACAAAAACCTGCTCTAACTGAAACAGGGCTGGGGTAGGGGTGGATATTGTGTTCAGTGAAGTTGTTCTATTACCAGTAAAGACTCAGGAGTCAGATATTGGAGTAAACACCTGATAAATCGAAGAGGTGGAGGAGCGACGAACTGACCTTCACTCCACGGTTCCCAGATCGAAGAACGCATGACATCTCTTAACTTCTCTCCCTACTCCTTTCTGTGCAACTCCTCTATTCATATTCCTGCCTTTTCTATGGCTAATTCCACCTAGTTGCTGGCTCTGTCCCCTGACACAAGGTTGACTTTCATAACACAGTTTCAGGGTATCAAATATCCCCCAACAGGTGGGAATTGACATATATTGGGAAACTACATTCAGTGTCTGTGAACAGATTGCTATGATGGGGGAAGGACCAGGGCAAGGCACTCCAGAAGAACAAGACTGCAGATATGTGGCTCAAATCTGATATAGTTCAATGTAATTAAAAATATGTTGGCCTCTTTTTTTGTATTTGCAACAAATATTCAACTTTTCATTTTATTATTGATAAAATAAATTTTTAAGTTATATTGATTTTCCATCTATTGTCACATCCAGTTTCACATTATATAGGTATTACTAAAAATTCATGTTTGAAATACACATTTTTGGGAGATTTAAGGAATATATTTGTACTGGGTATGATGGTTTCTTCCAGGAAGCCTAACACTCAGGAATCTCAGTTAAGAGGATTGTGAGTTCAAAGCCAGGCTGATATTCATAATGAAGCTCTCCTGAGACAAGGATGAAGCCAAAGAAGAAACAGTAATGCTTTTACTAAGTGGCCAGTCAAATTCCTTTGGTGTTAGCACAAATGCAATGTGTGTCTTTGCATCTTTAGCATGACAGATGACTGGTAGTAGAAGCTTATACCTGGAAATGAATAAGACATATATACGGTTAACACAATAATCTCACTTCTAGAATAGACAGAGCTGGGTTGTGATTTATTTGGAACAAGTGAGCTGGGTCATTGTCAAGATTGATTACTTATTTCTTCATTCCATTCTACTAAAATGTAGTTTGTGGTCCAAACTATAAAATATAGGCATCTAGGGACCATCCATGGCAGATAAACGATTGTTCCCATCTCCAGACCAACTTAAAACAAATCTTTGAGTTGAAACGAATACATTGACAATATATAATGTACAATAAGAGACAGAAGACCTAAATCTTATTATGGATTTTTGTATGAATTATGTCATATTTGTATATAATGTGCTCTGGTCACTCTCTACCCATCCCTTCTTACCTCCCTCCCATTCCTGTTACCTCCTTCCTCCTCCCGTGATTCTTTACAACATTCATGTCTTTTTCCTTTGTTTTGCCACCTGGGTAATGGGGGAAATTTCTAGGCAAGGCAATATAAAACAACCTTATGTTAAATAAGGTTGTCCAACCACAGAAAATGTTTTGCTATGCAACTGTTTCAGTGATCACTCAGGACCCACAGTAGTTTAATATAAAACTAGCAACACAAACCACACCACACAAGCAGCCATTTAGTATTATCCTTCGGATTCTACTCACAGGAAAGTAATGTCAGAGAAGCCACATGCAGGAAGCTTGGACAGCAAAAAAAAAAATAGCAACACTGTTAGTGATGGGTACATGGACATTTTATCTTCAATGAAATATCTGAGGTTTTCTCCATCATTTACATAGAATGCCGTGCAGAAAACCCCAAATTAGAAATGCTTGATAAAAGCCAAAGACTTGTCTTGGCAATATTATAAAAGATTAAAACAATCCAAGAAAATAGTTTACCATAAAAGATACTGAAAGTTGTGACAAATACACCTGGTCTTAGATGCTGAGTGACATGAGATGATGCTATTCCTGGGTCAAAATGTAAACTCAGAAGAGAGACTAATAAACTTAAAAGTATTAAGTAAGAGTAATATGTCAAGGTGGGTAACTATACTACCTATCACGTAAGAACTTATGGTTGTAAATGGTGCACAAAGAGGAGCGTGTAACCAAGAACTTGTGTGGTTCATAAAGCCTACGATATTACATCTGGTTCCATATAGATAGATCAACCAGCCCTGTTATTGTCACATAAAAGTATATCTCTCTTCTTAGGGAAGGTGTAGTGAACTATTTAGGGGTAAAGGATATGATATATGTAGCTTAGTCTCAATTCAGAAGAAATAAATGGTGAATGGATAGATAGATAGATAGATAGATAGATAGATAGATAGATAGATAGATACATACATACATACATACATACATGCATACATACATACATGGATACATAGATAGATACATAGATAGATACATAGATATAATATTTTGAAACATTAACCTGGGACAGGTGAATGAGAATATTTCAGAATGTCCCTATTCCTATAATTTTCCAAAATTTAAATATGTTCAAATACATTTCTATTTTAAAATCTTCAACTCTGCTGAGATTACAATTAGCATTAAATTTTTATTTTCTGCAAAACTTTTTAATATTCAACCTATTCAATAACTTACTCTTCATGCTGCCTTCTTACTCCCAGAAAGTATATGACACTATTTATATTTATAATAAATGTTAGCTGTAGCTATTTTGTGCCAGAAACTAGCAGTTAATTGAGAATTTACTATATGCCAGATATCTAGTTATTGACATTGCTGCTCTATTTATTTATTTATTCATTTAGTTAGTCATGCAGAAAACATAATAAGATAGAAACAAATTAATAGATGAAAAATTAAAGTTCAAAGGTATTTAAGAAACTAACCCATAATAATCTAGAGAAGAGGAACAACTCAAAGATAGTATTGTGGAAATGGTATAGAGAGACTTGCTCTTTTGTATGTAAACTAACTTTTTAAAAAATGATTCTACAAAGTACCAGTGAAATCTGGGACTGCCTGGAAAATGCTGCCCTTCTAGTTGATTAGGATTATGCAGTTGGGTCATCATCTACCACCTCCTAGTTCACAGACATCCATTATGAATGAGCTGCTATTGCTTAGTTTTCTGTGGAAGGCAAAATAATTGCCCTGAAACATACCAATGCCCTGGTCCCCAGAACCTGCCAATGCCTCGTTACCTGGAAAGAAAGTTCAAACTACAGAGATAATTCAGCAGGTCAGTCAATTAACTTTAAAATAAAACCTCTACAGGGGTTCAGTGTAGTATTATGGTCCCTAAATTCAGAAGATGAAGCAAAATGAAGGTTGTCAGAAAAACGCAATATGAGAAAGACAGCAGTTGCCGTTTTTAGTTTTTTGGTTTTTTTTTTTTTTTTTTTTTTTTTTTGGTTTTTCGAGACAGGGTTTCTCTGTAGCTTTGGAGTCTGTCCTGGAACTAGCTCTTGTAGACCAGGCTGGTCTCAAACTCACAGAGATCCGCCTGCCTCTGCCTTTCAAGTGCTGGGATTAAAGGCGTGCACCACCACCGCCCGGCCCATTTTTAGTTTTGAAGATGGAAAGGGATCACATTCTAAGGAAGGTGGGGCGTAGAAGCAGGAAAATATGAAAAAGCACAATAGACTCTAACACTTTCAAAACTATGGCCCAGCCTGCCAAAGCTATGAATTAGTCCAGGCAGGCCCACTGCAGCTTCTGATGTCCAGATTTGTAAAACCTTCTATTGTCTTGTTTTAGTCAGTAATT